GAGGGACGGGAGCGCCCCCAACCAGCGCCCGGGGACCTGCGCGGGGGAGGCACTGTGCCCGCCCGGGGGGGGTGGGACTTCCGGAACCAGCTTTCGTCTCTACTGGCTAACCTGCGAAGCAAGGCCCGCCCCTTTGGCTTTAGGGTTGGCTGAGAGGAGGCCTTCCGGTGACCCACTTCCGTTACTTCCTGCTGTGGACTGTGGGCCTTCGCGGTCGGTGAAGGTGAGTGGGGTTTAGGGTGTTGGACCCGCGTCCCTGTGGGTTCCTCTGCTCTGCCGCCTGCAAAGTTCGTGCCGACCCTTGTCGCACCTCCTGCCGAGGCCGCTGGGCCCTGCTGGTGCCTCGCTGGCAGAGCGCCCGGGTGTAGCTGCTGCCGCTTTGCTTCCCGCTCCCTTCTTCTCCCGTCCCCAGCGCGCGAGCTCCCAGGGGCTCGGCTGTGACCCGGCCGCCGCTGACTTAGGCGTCTCCACACACCTTGTCTTGTTCAGGCCGCCCCCAGCGCGGACGACTTCGGTAGTCCGGTTTGGGGGCTGGAGAAGCGTTACCCGGAGATAGCATTACCTTGCTGAGGGACACTCAGCGGGCTGGAGGCTGCGCTCTGCCCTCGCTCCCGAGGGCCCAGCATTCGAGCGTGTGGCGCGTTCAGAGCTTGTCAAGTGCAGGGTTCACTTACCCGTTCAACAAATATTCACGGAGCACCTCCTGTGTACATGGCCTGTTCTAGGCCCTGGGAACTCACCAGTAAATAAAAGACAAAAATCCCTTCATTTGTGAAGTCTGCCTGCTACTGGGGCTTGGAAAAGTCTCTGTAAGGGCGTTTATTTCTGTGGCGTCTTTAGAAGTCATCTGCTCTCGCCGCCACACCGGGAAACATAGCTGCCCTGAGAGGGAAAGAAAAGAAGGGGCAGCTGTTGGCAAGTTTCTTTTTAAGATCCTAGGGAAGATTTCTTCCACCTCCCTTGTGATCCACCCCATAGCTTGTAAAGACCTTTAACATTTCAGTCTTTCTCTTAATGTCTGACACTGATCATATTTCGTTTAAGTTGACTATGTTCCATATTCTGTTTTGGTTAAAAAAATGGCTGTAATCAGTTTCCGTCTCTCACATTCACATATGAGTTGAACACTTCTTTTAAGGTATTGCTAGTATACTCAGGGTATGTGCTAGTGCTGCAGGGGATAATCAGACATAAATAAGAAGGTGCAGGTGTATTACCGCTCTGCTAGGGAGGGGATAGAGAGCCCCTTAAGTTTGTATAAGACTGTGGAGAAAATTGATGGGCACAATTTCAGTTGATACTTTTAACAGCTTTCTGAGGTAAGCAGGGCTGATATTATCCCCATTTTTCAGATGAGGAAATTCTGGCCTAGACTTTGCTCTATTTAACTAAGCCTTGTTGAAACTTGGGTATGTGTCATGTTCTGTGCACTGGAGAATCATTGAATAAAACACAATCAGAATGGAAGTATATCTATTGTATGTATTCATGCATTGTATGCAATGCATGAATATTACTTGAGCAATATTTCCCAAGGCACATGGAGAGAAAACAGTAGGGCACTGGGCTCGCAAGGATGCGTGAGGATATGGGGCATAGTGGGAGGACCATCTAGGGGAAAGAATATATTTCTATGCCAGGTTGCACGACTTGAATTTGAAAAGCTAAACTGTCCTCCTTTTCTGATTTAGTAATCCTAATTCCTTTAGTTGATAAATTTACCCACCGAGCGCTCAGAGGATGCTGATCTGTTTCTTAAAGACTTGCATGTTTCTAAAATGCCCTTTAGAGGATTCTTTCCAGGAGCTGTGTTTTGATCTGACGTATTTTATTTTTTAGGATCTCAAGATGGCTGGGCGAAAACTTGCTCTAAAAGCCATTGACTGGGTAGCCTTTGGGGAGATCATACCCCGAAACCAGAAGGCCATTGCTAACTCCCTGAAATCCTGGAATGAGACCCTCACCTCCAGGTCCGTACCTTTCTGAGAGGGAGCCTCGTAACTTGCCATTGAACAGGAAGCAAAACAGTGCTTTGGAATTACATATGAATTTCTGAAGTCCTTCTGATGGAAAGTATAAAGAAATCCATGCATTTTCCAAATGAAAGCAAATTTTTTGCATTCTTCTGATCTCTCTCCTAGGGAAAAGTGTGATGGTAGCTCCAAGCCATTGGAATAAGGAACAGGGAAATTACTGTGTAAATTTTCTGTTGCTCATGGAACAGTCTTAACTTGCTTTTCCCTGTGAGCAGGTTGGCTACTCTACCTGAGACTCCACCTGCTATTGACTGGGCATACTACAAGGCCAACGTCGCGAAGGCCGGCTTGGTAGACGACTTTGAGAAGAAGGTGAGACTTCAGGCGACTAAAAGCACTGGTTTGTTGTAACGTGGCTTGTGGCTGGGCAGCAGGATGGTAGAAAATTACACATGCAAGGTGACAGGAAAGAAGGCTGGTGTTAACACTCAGATCCCAGAGGAGGCTCAGGAGAGATGGGTGTGGCCAAAGGTCTTGCAGTAGTAGATAGAAATGGTAAATACGTGCAGAGAATTCAGAGTCTCTTCATTCAGCGGGTTTCTTGTCAAAAGAAACAGTACAGTATAGCCTTGATCAGGGAGCCAGAGTTAAATGTTTCCGCCCAACTCTGCCTGAATTATTTTTTAGCCTCCCACCTGTCCCCCTTTGGAACAGACTAATATCTTTTCTACCCTTTCACCATTTTCCTCCTTTCTCAGCTCTTTTTTAGTGTCCCTTATAGCTGTAATTTCTCATCCACCTATCCTCTTCTGATATTTACACATTAAACCTCAGTACATAGTTTGCTTATTCATTGAACAGATGCTTATCGAGGGCCTGCTCTGTGCCAGGTGCTGTGCTAAGTGCTGGGGCCATACCACTAAGCAGGCTCCTGAGGAGGCCATCTCCATCATGCAAACAGTACTTCCGCCAGTCAGTCCCTAGGGTTTCACTTAAAAGAGAAATCAGAATTTCTTTAGAACTCCAAGGTTCAAGGCCATCAAGTCCAACTGTTCTTTTCAGGTGAAGAAACTGAGGCTGATTGTAATAAAGAATTGTCCAGGGTCTCCAGTTAGTAACAGGGCTGAGAAGAAACTGGAGCTCCTGTTTCCAGTCTAGTATTCTTTCCACTACAACACTCTAGAAGCATACCGGTTTTCTCTTGGATTGGAGAATGTGTTTTCATGTGCTCTATAAGGATTAGCAGCCTTGAGCCCTTTCTTTGGTCTCCTCGGTATATTAACGACAACTCACTGTCCCTATGTTTGTAGTTTAATGCCCTGAAGATTCCTGTGCCAGAGGATAAATATACTGTCCTAGTGGATGCTGAAGAAAAAGAAGATGTAAGTAGTTGAGACTCTTATTTATTCTAAAATTCTCTTAATTCCTGATGGCTCTATATTTCTTAGTTAGGTTAAGGTAGAGTGAATTTAAAGGAGCAATAAAATAAAACTCTAGAAAATGCAACTAATCCATGGTGACAGCACATCAATAGTTGCCTGGGAATGGGAGGGAGGGGGCTGATACATTTGTTCACTGTCTTGATTGTGGGGGTGGTTTCACACATGGATACATAGATCAAAACTTATCAAGTGGTACTCTTTAAATTTTTTTTTTTTTAATTTTATTTATTTATTTATTTATTTATTTATTTTTTCCCCCAAAGCCCCAGTAGATATTGTATGTCATAGCTCCACATCCTTCTAGTTGCTATATGTGGGACGCGGCCTCAGCGTGGCCAGAGAAGCGGTGCGTCGGTGCGCGCCTGGGATCTGAACCAGGGCCGCCAGCAGTGGAGCGCGTGCACCTAACCGCTAAGCCACGGGGCCGGCCCTCAAGTGGTACTCTTTAAATATGTGCATTTTATTGTATGTCAGTTATACCTCAACAAGGGTGTTAAAAAACAATTGAGGAGTTGGAATGGAGTAGGAAAATTATCCCCGGTAGTGCTCAAATACCTAACTATTTGCTTGAAAGTACTGAAGGCCAAATGTTGGAACCCAGGTAGCTCCACCAAAGAGGAGTCTGGCTAGGCAGTCAGTTGGCTTGTCCTGACCATTCAGTAACTGGCCCTTATGAAACACAGCCATTTTGTAGGTTGCCTAGGTGAGTAACTCGCTGAAGAACCTTGGTCCTGCCATCATAAGCCGGTCCTCCTATATGGGCTTCTTTGTGCCTTTAGGAAAAGCTGTAGTTTGCCTCCCAGAGCAAACTCCCCCTAGTAGTCAGGGCAGCCACATATTCTCCACATAAAGTGGGAAAGCAAGAGTGGGCTCTGGGACTTGTCATACCTTGGGAGCGTCAGGGTCAGGACAGTACAACTTGGTTTCAAAACAGAATTTCTCCCTTCTCTTAAAGGTGAAAAATTGTGCTGAGTTTGTGTCTCTGTCAAAGGCCAGGATTGAGGAATACCAGAAAGAGGTAAGGATGAGCCTTGGCCTTTGCCAGTAATATGTTTTCTCTCTTTTTGCGGTCACACGTCTTCACCTAGTGGCAGTAACCTGCCTTGGATTCCTTCTTGCATGTCTGTGGCCCTATTTACCTTACCTTAACACATTTCCCCTCTTTCCAGCTGGAGAAGATGAAGAACATAATTCCATTTGATCAGATGACCATTGAGGACTTGAATGAAGTCTTCCCAGAAACGAAATTAGACAAGAAGAAGTATCCTTATTGGCCTCACAAGCCAATCGAGAATTTGTAAACTTGAGTTGGGGAGAAAGCTGTGGCCCTCATATTATAAACTCTGGACATTAAAAATAATTATATAGTGCTGTGTGTGTCTGCTCCTTTGTGGTTGAGATTACAACTCTGAGGTAACCTCACTGGAAGTGGGGTTTTTGTTGGAAAGGTGAGCCTACAGGTGTGTGCTGGTCCAGTTGTCTAATGGTTAGGGTATGCAGAGTCAATTACTGAGCCCCCAGGGCTGCTGAAATCTTAACAAATAACAGTAGGGCTGATGACAGTGTATTTCACTGGAATATGGTAAAGAGGAATGATTATCTACTGATTCCCTTGAACTTCCTCTCTGCTTTCAAACCACTGGTTCCTAGGAAGTGCTCCCTTCTCCATTAGTAAGTCACAAGAACAGATGGTGCAAATTGCAGGTGTAACAGCAGGGTGAGTAGCAGCAGGGATCTACTTTTCTGTGCTTCAGCTCTTCAGCATAAATGTGGTTTAAAAGGAAATTTTGTCACAAAACCGGTTATAGCTTTGTATTTGAATGTAGAAAATTATTTTAATTCCATCATTTCTTTTTAAAAATTCCTACTATTTATTATAGTTAGCAGGACTCCTGAGCAATGCCAGGAAATACAGGTGGTTTAAAGTAAGGTGAGGTGGTGGACAGGGTTCTGTTGCCCTTGAAGTCAGAGGACCTGGTATGCCTACCACTTACTCCCTTGACCATTTAATTGCTGGTTTTAGACTAATTATTTACTATCTTGGGACTTTCCTTTTCTCATTTACGAACATCAGGATTGTAATGACAAATAAAATAAGCCAGGAAGTTTCTAGGTAAGAAAGTGATCTAAAGATGCAAAGGCATCTGACTTGATATGGCTTACATCCTGTAGGAAAAACCTACAAGAGGAAGGGTAGCATGCACAGGCCAACAATTTTGGGCCATTTCTACCAAAGATTGCAGACGGACTTTACTCGAGAAGAGCAACAATGGCTCATAGCGCTTAAGAAAGCAATGTAGTTTTAAAGCACATAAGCAGAAGAGAGCCTGGGCACCATCACCCCTAATTTGTAGGGGTAAGGGCTAGGTTGAAGGTAAAATGTAGTTGAGGGGCAGTGTGTGTTCCACTGAGAGCTGCTTTAGTCATAATCTGTGATGTTCAGTGATAGCTGTGCCAGAAGGCCTTTAATGCACAAAACAAAAATGACTACCACACACTCCCTACCCCCAGGCTGTGAATGACTGAACTGAGCCATCCACTGACGATCTAAGGATTCAGACAAGTGAAAACATGGAGCGTCTAAGAAAAAACCATTTAGTTTGCTTTTGGAGTGTGGTTAGAACTCACGTTCAAGGAAAGAACCAACATGAGTCCTGTGAGAGTTCTGTAACATAAAGGGAGGAGTCCCTAGCATTTGAGGGAGAACCTTTGGAAGGTTTACTGGAAGAAACAACAGTGAACACCTGAGAACACGCTCTCAATCCAAGGCATTTGTACAGGATTGGGGCACTTTTAAATTTTACACCCTCTTGGATTGTTTGAAATTTTTGCATTGAGCATGCATTGATTTTTTTTTTTTTTTTTTGTGAGGGAGATCAGCCTAACATCCGTGCTAATCCTCCTCTTTTTGCTGAGGAAGACCGGCTCTGAGCTAACATCTATTGCCAATCCTCCTCCTTTTTTTCCTCCTTTTTTTCCCCAAAGCCCCGGTAGATAGTTGTATGTCATAGTTGTACATCCTTCTGGTTGCTGTATGTGGGACGCGGCCTTAGCGTGGCCGGAGAAGCGGTGCGTCAGTGTGCACCCGGGATCCGAACCTGGGCCGCCAGTAGCGGAGTGCGCGCACTTAACCGCTAAGCCACCAGGCCAGCTCAGAGCATGATTTACATTAAAAATAATCACTAATAAAATAGGATGCTTTTCATATCCCTAGAGAAGGGAAAAAAAGTACATCCTAGATAGCAAAACTTAGGTAGAATTCAGCAAAAACAAAAGTAGCATAAATACAGAACCAAGCATACTTAGGATGATTATGAATTGGTAAGACCCCTATTAGAAGGCAAAAATTCCATTTAGGTCAACCTAAAATCCAACTACAAGTTGTCCATTAAAAAAAGTTGTAAAGGGGGCCGGCCCCATGGCTTAGTGGTTGGGTGCTCGCGCTCCGCTGCTGGCGGCCCGGGGTTCGGATCCTGGGCGCTCACCGACACACCGCTTCTCCGGCCATGCTGAGGCTGCGTCCCACATACAGCAACTAGAAGGATGTGCAACTATGACATACAACTATCTACTGGGGCTTTGGGGGAAAAATAAATAAAATTATAAAAAAAATAGTTATAAAGGATAGATTAGATGTATCAATCAACTCATTGCTCTAAAAACTGGCATTAAAGGGAAAAAAATTACACATTTATCCTGCCTCTTTAAACAACTATTTCAAGGTAAACTAAGACCTAGTTCATGAGAGAAAGTTCTTTATAAAGTATTCCAGTTAAATGTGGAAAGAAAAGTAATGACAGAAAAATCACTACTTTGTAATCCCTAATAGTTTATTCAGGCAAAGATCATCAATGGATGAAACCATTATATGAAAGGTTGATGAGGAACTTGACAGTGATCAGGTGGTCACCTCCTGATGGCAAGCCTATATTCTGTACCTTCTGATATACTATATTAAATACACAGCACCATTTGAAAGGATTCTTGCCAGAAAGTTGAACCTGAATTTAATCAAGGCCTTAAAAGTAAGTTCCAATTTAGAGGAAATATTGGGGATAGAGGAACAAATTAAATGACACCATGAAGGAGTAAAGATAAATCCAAAATGTGGGACAGTTGACCTTTTGTTTTTCAAGAAGTCAATGGTGTGGGGAAGGTAAGAGGGAAGAGGGGCCAGCCCCATGGTGTAGCGGTTAAATTCATGTGCTCTGCTGCTGGCAGCCAGGGTTCGGATCCCGGGCCTGCACTGATCCACTGCTTGTCAAGCCATGCTGTGTATATAAAGTGTATATAAAGCCATGCTCCCATATAAAGTGGAGGAAGATGGGCACAGATGTTAGCCCAGGGCCAGTCTTCCTCAGCAAAGAAAGAGGAGGATTGGTGTGGATGTTAGCTCAGGGCTGATCTTCCTCACACACACACAAAAAATATATGTAGGGGTGAAATGATGTGATGTCTGGGATTTCTTTAAAATATTCCAAAAAAAAAAAAAGGATAAAAGGGATTAATGGAGGAAATGTGACAAAATCTTGATAACTGATGAATCTAGGTTGGTTCATTTACTATTTTTGTTTTTGTGTATGAAAATTTTCATAATAAAAACAATGTTTAAAGTATGGGCAAAAATGCAGTTATAATATCACTATCTAGCAAAGAATTCGAGACTAAAATATGAAATGTGTCAAATGTAATTCTTAAATAATAAAGGGAACCATCCACATGAAAAAAATAATGATTGGAACTTAGATGTACTGAAAAAAATAGCATTAAAACATACAAAGCAGGGGCTGGCCCCGTGGCTTAGCGGTTAAGTGTGCGCGCTCTGCTACTGGCAGCCCGGGTTCGGATCCTGGGCACACACCAACGCGCCGGTTTGGATCCTGGTGTGGACTTACCTACCTCTTCATCAAGCCATGCTGAGGCCGCGTCCCACATACAGCAACTATAAGGATGTACAACTATGACATACAACTATCTACTGGGGCTTTGGGGAGAAAAAAGAAGCAGCGAGGAAGATTGGCAACAGATGTTAGCTCAGGGCCAATCTTCATCAAAAATACATTAAAAATCCCACAAAAAACAACAGGAAAAATTGTAGGTAAATATTTACATAATCTTCAGGTGAGGGAGTTTTTCTAAGCATAACACCAGAGGTGAAACTAGAAACTATGATGAAAAAATGGATAGATTTTGGGGAAAAATAAACCAGGCACTCGGGGACCCTGCAGGCATCGTGGACTTGGATCAGCCCTGAGCTTATCTCCTTCCCCAGGGCACGTGGTGCCACCATCCTCCCAAATCCTGGGCACCATCTTGGGCTCCACCGCCCACAGATTGTACTTCCTGAACATCTTTACTTTCCTCCTCTTGGTGTCCCTGCTATTCTGTTCAGGCTTTGGTAATCTCCTCGCTGAACCACACATCTCTCCCTAAGTGGTCTCCCTGCCTGGACTCTCACCCATCTCCAATCCATTCTTTACATTGCTGCCAAGCGGATCTTTTCAAAATGCAAATATGGTCATTTTACTCCTCTGCTTAAAACCCTGCCCAGGGCCGGCCCGGTGGCTTAGCGGTTAAGTGCGCACGCTCCGGCCGTGTCCCACATACAGCAACTAGAAGGATGTACAACTATAAAGTACAACTATCTACTGGGGGGCTTTGGGGGAAAAAAAGGAGGAGGATTGGCAATCGATGTTAGCTCAGAGCCGGTCTTCCTCAGCAAAAAAAGAGGAGGATTAGCACGGATGTTAGCTCAGGGCTGATCTCCCTCACAAAAACAAAACAAAAGAAAACAAAAAAAACCCTGCCCTGGATTCCCACTGTGCACAAGATCACATGCAATCTCCTTATTCCGGGGTTCTCTCTTGGTACACGGTTCTCCTTCCCCCATTACAGCCATAGCAAATTGCTAACTGCACCTCCCACTCCACGCTTACCATCAGGCATTCGCTATTCCTGCTTCTAATCCTAGAAGATTAGGAAGATCTAGAGGATTCTAGAAGATTCTTTGTTGAGTGCCAGCACTATACCTTAGTCATATTTATATTTCCCAGGCTTAACACTGTGCTAGGCATTTAGAATAATCTTAATATGAATTCATTATGAATGAAAGAGAAGAAATGTAAGATGAAATTTGAGCCTTCAGGGGTTCACATCTAGCGAGGAGAGTATCACACACAAACCTTGAATAATGGGGCAGACTAGTATGTTAGTAAATGAGGATGACCATGACTGATCTTGAAGAGCACATACAATGTTCCGGGAATTGTTCTAATCACTTTACATACATATCATCTCCTTCACTCCTCACAACCACCTTATGAGGTAGGTAGCGTATCAGCCAAGACATTAGAGCAGTCCTCTGAAGGTGAC